GGATCACACCAAGGCGGGTTGCAATTACGCGAACGGAACGGCGGAAAGTGAAACTCGGAGTCGATAAGTGAAAGGTCCGGCCGTTTTCAATCAGAAAGTCGAACTTAGCCGCTTAATTGGCCCTCGTTTAATTTGCACAGTATTAGCTCCGTTTCAGCGATATTAAAAGTTACAGATCGGGTGCGGTGAGGCGTGCCGCGCCTCCAGCCTAAAAAACCACAAATCCGAATTAAAAACGCACTGCAGTTGCGTCGTTCTCGCTTTTACCACTTCCTAAGATAACTCGGCGTATTTCTTGAACCTAATTTGCGGGTAAACGAGGGAGCGGGGCAAGAGAACAAATTCCTCGCGCAAACATAATAAGTTGTAATAATTTGCATTCTGAATCCATATTTTTATAACTTTCAACGGAAATAAAGCCTCCACCGCAAAGTTTTAAGCTCGAAGTTGAGAAGTTTGAGGGCCGCGATGGATGCGCGCGGGAGATAAAATGGATGGATATCAGACAATTTATTGCCCAAAAGTTAAGCGCGAGAAAGATAAATTACTTAGGGAGCTAAGTCGCTCTCCGCCCTCCGGGCTACCGGCCGCAACTTTATCAAAATTTTCGATGTATCATTAAATTTTAATTAGGTGGTTCGGACTTTTTGAGCTTTGTCGTAAGTCCCGGATCAAACCTAACGAGCTTCCGAACCGCTTTGTTCTAGTCTGTCTCGGTGTTGGGGTAGGTCGGTGATCCAGTTTCCTTGCGGAGGGAGATCTGTTATCAGCTCATGATCCGGGAGCTTGAGAACACGAGTTGGACTGAACTTTCGGATGTGTTCCTTCTTTTCCGACTCGCTGTACCTGGATTCAGTACAGTGCCCCAAAAAGGTACCTAACTCCGTTTCAGCTACTTCAAGGGATCGGAGAAACTGGGGCCCTCATGTCAATCCCATTCATTTAAACGTAAATCATAGTCTTTGGAACTTTACATCCCTTAACCGACGTTAGATAGTGAGACCAAACTTCGTCCACGTATGAATGCATTATCGGAATTTTCTGGAAAGCCTTTCACTGAATTTATCGAAATATTCGAGCTAAGAACATTTTGGCTCTGGAATACTGACTGTTTCGAACTTCGCTGGTCTCATCGGATGCTGCGATCTTCTCAGATGCCTAAGTCCAACAGCAAAAATTAACGATATACTGCCCTTCTAATAATAAAGTATGTCCAGGGCCGGATTAAAAGGGTGGCCACATGGGCCGCGGCCCACGGCGGCAAATCTAGAGGGCGGAAAATTTTTTTAAATGTAGGTATACAAAAATATAGGATTTAGAAAAAAAATTACCAACGAGAAAAGGCGTCAAAATCTCTCATTTACTGAGAGTAATTTTTAATTTTATCGTCTTTCAGTGATCTAAGAGAAAGCACCTTTAAGTAGTCGAGTTAAGAGAGAAACCAAACACACAATTTGGCCTGGAACGGCGCGGCGCAGAGAGCAATGATGACGAGGACTTGAGATGAAAAGGAGAAGCTCTCGGCGCGGTGATCGGCATGTAACACACATTAGCGCCTACAAGACTGCACGAATACTTCACGCATTGCATCAAACACAGTGCGGTCATTACGGTCAGCGTGAAACGGATAGCGCCTACAAGAATGCATGAATACTTCACGCATTGCACCAAACACAGTGCGGTCACCGTGAAACGCATGGCGCCTACAAGACTGCGTGAATACTTCACGCATAGCGCCAAACACGGTGTGGTCTGCGCGGCGCGGCGGCGGAAGTTAAAATCATTAAACTTCATTCATGTTTGTTCTTTCCGAATTTTTTTGTTCATTTCTTATGAATGAAAGGCTTTGTCCACACAGAGATAAGTTTACAAAACTTAACTTTTGCCAGTAGTGTTGACAGGGCATTCCCAAAACATGTGTTCAATACGAGTAAACGCTTCTTATGCATCCCTCCCCCGCTGGCTTGTTCACTTGATGGTTTTTATTGATGTTTCAATACGAATGAGAAGGAGGCGGCAGAATACAGGTGGCCCTTGGGCGGCAAGTAGGTAAATCCGGCCCTGAGAACGTCATCTATTGCGTTATAGGTTTATCTCTATTTGCAGCGTTGCAGATGTCCTATCGATTCTCGCCGTTTGGGAACTTAAGACTCTATCGTGGAAAACTTGACAACATTCTAATTTATACAGGGTGTATTTTCTTGGTAAAATAGTACCGGCGTATACCGAAGGAAAACTTCGTATGGACATTCAAACGCTGCCAATTTTCCCTCTTAATGTATATTTTATATGAAATTTAAGAATACTCTCCTGTGAAGTTCTCAGATACTACAGACGAAACTGCAAATACAATTTTATTCAAATTTAAACTGTAAGAAAAACATTCGAAACTTCCGTAGAAACTTCGTATACAGTACTCTTTCTCCCTAACGAATATCGTTTTAGTGGAAATCTCTCTATAACGAGGAAATTCGTCAGTCCTTTGCACCTATATTTCATAAAAACTATCGTCAAAACGAAAAAAGAAACCGGTGAAGGATCGCAAGACAGTGTAATCGCAATGAACACCTGAATAATTAATTATTTACCATAGTTTAAAATGAAGAAAATCGAAACTCGATCATTCACATCTCGGCAATGATCTGTTGAGCTTTCATTATAGAGAAAGAGTATTGTATTTTCAAACAGTGTTCGAAACTCACAGGCTCTAACGCGCCAAATGCGCCTAAAAAATCGGCCATGTCGCCTAAAAAATTAAGGCTCTGCGCCAACATGGCCCCTAAAAATTGCCTCCTAAAAATCTAGATTTTTACAGGAAGTCACATAAAGAAAGAAAAACAAATCTATTTGAATTGAAAAAACTCAGAATTTTCAGCACTACAAGTGAAAGCTTGCTTTTTCTATTCTTCACGATTTCATTCTTAGTGCTTTTGTCTTCCCCAAGTTACAGCTACTTACTAGTTCTGTTACGAAAACATTTTGCATCGAACATTTCACTAAATGCGCCGGAATATAGAGGCCAAAAGTCAATTTGCCCCCTAAAAAATCTTCAATGGCGCCTAAAAATCGGGATTGATGCGCCAAATGGCTCCTGAAACTCAAAGGTGAGTTTCGAACACTGTTTTCAAAAGAAATTTGGCAACGTCTGAACGTTCCACCGATGTTCTTCTTCAGCACGAGCACTGAACACACTATGTTCTCGCGGAATTTTATGTAGGATTAGTTGATTGAAGCGCAAATCCCAGTACTTTGCAGGCGGGCCGGGAGCCGGACCCGTCGGGTAATGGAAAGCGTTCGCCACTCTCGGCCCGCGTCCCCAATCTGTATCGTTAGCCGGGATAGCCGGTCACTCGCTCTGTTTTGACCGGTCTTCCCGGGACTCGGGGAGGACGCGCTGATAAGTAGTCTCATCGCGAGAAAACCATGATTTATGCACGTGCATACTCAGCACTATCGCGCGCGACATTTCGCCGAACCGCACTATCCGAACCCCGACTTGAGCCCTAGATCGGGTAAGAGTCCGGCTTTATCGCGGCTCATGTTGAGACGTCGCTTCGATGCGATCGTTGTTTTCTCCCTAGATGCCATAACTCAGTCCCTTCCCGGATTGTTATGTTCGCCAAGACGATGATAGGTCTGCCCTCCTTCCCCCGCCGACAGCTCGACCCTTTTAAGAGAGTGGTCCGATTTTTTATGAGCCGCTGGTCGAGGAATTCGCTTACAGCCATGTATTTGCACCGCGCAGAACGCATCGCAAAGAAATTCTATATGTGTGGATCATTTCGATGGCGCACAGTGAATAGAGTCAATAGGAGAGGTCGGACACAATTTGGATACTTTAAACGCTGATGGCTCCATTTATTCAAAACTTTGGGGTTCTAAAAGTGAAGAAATCGGTTCACTCGTAACATTTTCTTCTAAAAGTACCCATTGAAATTTAAAATGTGACGAAATCAACATCAAAATTTGCAGTTTTAGTCGAAAATTTCATGTCCGACCTCTATTATTGACTCGGTGCACTGTATGGTGGGATTAGGACAACACGTTTTTCAATTGCAATGTTCCGAAATTCCCGCGCGCTCCTTAAGATAATGCTGCTAGACACAGTGGCGATTCTTGAAAGTCGGCAACGCTGCTTTTCCTCCATTTACATGTATGTAAAACAATCGATTCTTGGCGAGGTAGCTTGCCTTACCTAAAATCGATATATTTAATTGATTTAAAGGGAGGAAAAACAGTGTTGCCAACTTGCAAAATCGTTATTCCTTGGACATTATTGAGCGAAATTAATGGAGCGCTTCTTTACCTCTCTAAAGAGATACAGAAAAGAGGCACAATTTTGGCAATGCCAAAGACACGCCGAATGATAATTTATTGATGAACATAAAATAAAATGAAATTCGCCTAATGATTACTTACGAATGTTAGGATGAGCACATCGCTGGGCGAGTTTCTGCAATTAAATTAGGTTGATATTGCTAAACCAGTTGATCAACTCTCTGGTCATCAGCCATCGTTCGTCAGAGCGATGACCTCCAACAGGTGACCGGTGAAAATGTCTAATCTAAAATGTCCAACTGTAAAAATATCTTAATTTTATCACCCTTCAATCATTGGGGAGATGGCACACAGTGGATCGGGTCAATCAGAGAGGTCAGACATACAATTTTTGACTTAAACTGCAAATTTTGATGTTTCCTTTGCCACATTTTAAACTTTGAGGGGTGCTTCTGGAAGAAAATTTCACGAGAAAACCAATAGAACCACCTTTAAAATCTCAAAGTTTTTTATAGACTGACTTATAAGCTTTTAAAGTTTCCGAATTTTGTCCGATCTCTCCTATTGACTCGATCCACTGTGTTTTAGCGCGTGGTCTCCAAAATTTACATAGTCTTCTCTCAGGATTGTCTGCGTTTGTGAACCATGAACACGACTCACCATCACATGGTCAAAGTCAAAACAAAATGGTCTGATCTTTGATATGTTTTGTTTGTTTTCAGCTTTCAACACGTACACGCACAAATTAAACGCGACGGTAACCGCGCACACGCCCCGGGAGCACGATGAAATCCTCGTCGTCACCTACGAAGATGGAAAGTGGAGTAAACCTTACTACGACTGTGGAGGGGGCAATATTTGGATGCTCACCTACACGGTCCCTTTTTTTGGATACGGCAACAGCTCGTACTTTTTCAAGTAAGTCACTATTCGTCAATTATTCCCATCGCGACCTCCGCGTCGCAAGAGTAAATTATCATCTGGACCGCGATAGGCAGAAAAGAACCAAGCAACATCAGCTATTGCCAAATTAAATTGGGAAATTTATGTGTTTGAATTTTTGTGCAAATGTCGGTAAATTTTGTGTAAAGTACAAGACAAATTTCTTAAAATTTTCAAAGGAATCCGCTTAAACTTTCTCTAGTAAAAAATATAATTTACCAGTTGAATTTGGCAATAGATCGTAAATTTTTGGATACAGGGTCGTGATTTTTGAATGGAGGAATGAAATGAATTTTTAGGGCAACTGCGAAGAATTGAAACTGTCTTCGTCTCAGTAACCCGGCACCAATTTGTATCCTTTTCTTTGAGTTACGAGTCAGCACGCAGAGAAAACGGCTCAAGTGGAAACATAGTTCTCTCATCATATTCTTATTTGACTTTGAACTCAGAGCCGGTTATATCCTATCCCTTTGATTCAAATTTAATGAGGCAACTCGTGAGCCCTCAGAAAATAGTTGCTCGACGCGGGACTCTACTAATTATCCTACACGGTTAACTCTCAGGAAAGTTATGTCGAGGAGTAAGAGCGGCCAATAAAATTTTAGCGATTTGGAGTAAATCGATCAATATTTCAAGCTCATCAATTCGGTGAAACTATTGAGTTGTTCGTGATAATAATTATTATTCCACATGTCGTCGGCAAATAGTCAAATATTTTCAGTCAGATTGAAATACTGAGTGTGTATTACTTTTACACCTGTTTTTCTCCACGGAACAAAAAGTGTCAGTGGTTTACCCCTAAAATTGTGATACAACTCCAATCCGTCGGATGATATGGACATTTTCAATTGATTTTGGTAGTACTGTAACTCATGATGGGATAGTACAGCGACATTTGGGTCAGTAACCTAATTTATTGAGGTACTACCACAATCAGAGACAAGAAACCCTCCACTAGTATGTTGGCCATGGTGGAAGCTTTTACTTTCTGGACTTCAGCATTCTCCTGTTGACTTACCTACATGGTTGATGGTCAACATAACGTGTTGGCAGTTCCGTTTTGCAAACAAGCCGAAAATGGCCGAAGTTTGGGAAACTTGTTTGGCTCATGACGTTACCCGAAGCTCATCAGCCACCATGTATGAAATTAGGATGATGACTGCTGCTCCCTTATAATTGTCCATGAGAAATTATTGACTTCCCGAAAGTAAAAGCTTCCACTTGTCGCCAAGAGGCCAGTGGAAGGTCTCTTGTCTCTGACCACAATTCATTGGGAATGTTCATGTTGGGACCTAACCTCTACCTGTTTTTTTCCGTGTCGGAGAAAAAATGTCTCTCAGCATGCTCATTTACTGGCCTCTTCACTAACAAGTTGATTTTGGAAATTTTTATCATATTAAAGGTGTTTAATTTGAATTTTTGAAGAAAATCAGCGTTTTGTAATGTTTTAATTCTTTATATACCCTCACTGGAAAAAAAACACACACACATTGGATCTAGAGTCCAGACTCTTAAAAACATCGACAAGAAAAAATACTCTTCATTCAATCGGATTTTTGCTTAAATCAAGAACCAAGCTTCTTAATTTGAGCGGATTTCCTTTTGATTCAAGCAAAAATCTGATTGAATCAGGAGTATTTTTTCTTTTCAATGTTTGCAAGAGTCTGGACTCTAGATCCGATGTGTTTTTTTTCCAGTGCTGTCCGGGGGTCTTTTGAATCTATTTGGCAACGCAGTGTAATAAGGCGCCCTAAAAAGGCGTCGCACGACTAGGGAGTAGCCATAATACGTTCAGAACGCCTCTCTCCACCAACTAACACGGCGCATCCGGCCTGCTCCTTTTTCAACCCCTTCCTCCCATTCCCGGATTCGCACAAGAACCTCGGACTCATAACTATGGACCTCAGGTGTGCAAGTACGGCTTTTTAACACAGATGTGCTTCAAGCATATCCATGAGATGTACTCTCCTTTCGGCCGATTTGCGGAACTCAGCGCAACGCGCTACATTGCCAAGTAGGGATACCATTATAAAATTGGTATAGTCCTGTACAAATTAACTACATTTAGCAATGGGGAACTACAATTTCTAGCTCATCTCGTAGGGAAACTAAAGCTATACATACGTTGTTTCTAAACTGAGCCGGAAATTGTAGTTCTTAATTGCAAAATGTAGTCCAAATGGGGCACTAGACGAAGCAAGAAATCGAACACCGCAGCACATGATTTCTCATCCACTAAGTGGTTTCAAAATTTCCAAGGAAACATCCGGATCCGCAGAAACATTCTTTTGGAAAATTTAATTTTTTTAGATCTATTCTCGAGCCATTTTTTTCCATTTTAATAAATTTTGGCGTGTCTCTAACTTTTTATCGACCCTCCAACAATCTCAAACCACTCATCACTACGACCTCATACGCGACTCCCTTGCGCTCAGAATCAGTCACTTCCGTTCATTCGGAGAATCATGCAACGTGAGAAAAAGACCTCAGCGAGGGTTTTTCACTAATTACTCCCACTGAATGTTTGTCAAAAATAGAAAGCGTGAAAAGAGAGGAATTGTAGGAGGATGGAGGAAAAGGGCCACGACAGTCCTAAGTAATTAATTGCGATCTTAAGAAATTGGGATCTGACACGCTACCGCCTATTTATTCTAGAGGAGTACTTGTTGAATAGAGTGTCTAATCATTTCTAAGTTCTCCTCCTTAATGACTGTCTTTTTTGAACCGCCCCATCAGAAGTTCATCACGCGATTCAGACTTGAATGATTACGACTGTAGGTGTTTCACAGGCTGTCACCGATATAATTAAGAAAACTTTGACCGTCGCTATGATTAATAACAGAGACGTCTCTTTCTTGCATTTACAGAAATTCTGGCATGGCTTTTGGGTCGTCTGAAGTTTATTATTTTGAAACGCCTGGAGTCAGAATTGTCTGATGACTGTTTGGACTGCAGCATTTCGCAAGAAGGAACTATCAGAATTTTAATTTAGGAAAGACTGTCATACTTCTCATTTTATCTTGCAAGAGAATAACTCGAACATTCAAAAAATTTCCATTTCCACAAAAAGAATGAGGAGGAAGAAGAAAATAGAAAATATCCAATAAATTCCATTTATATTGATCTGTTTTCAGCCAAATAATTGGTTACCAAGAAGTTGTCTCTGAAAAATAGTGCAACACTAGGGATCCCCCATCGCTGAACGTGATCAATGTTTTCCTACATTTCAAAAGCTCAGAAAATAATCTTGGTTTATTTGAAATTAGTTCTTGAATTTTTATAAAATGGGACTACATTTTGCAATGAGAAACTACTTTTCCCGGTTTATTTTAGATAAAACTTATGTGCCATCTGTTTCTCCATGCAGATATATGTTTTTTTAATGAGCCAGAAAAGTAGTACCTCATCATTGAAAAATGAAGTTTAACTTTCATTTGTGTGCATACCGCCTCGATTATCTCACTTATATGCGTTTATTTTTCACCTTTTTGTCGTTATAATAGCAGAACAGCTTTTTGAAAAAGCCTATTAATTTTTACATACAGTGATTAAGGAATATACATATCGGATTACGTATGTATGCAGTTGTCACCTTTATAGCATTTCCAAGCGTTCTACGACACTCAACCGCCACTAGTAGTGGTCTTGCCAGAGTTCCAACTGCAAGTCTGACTCCTTTTATTTCTTGATTGTTGAACACTATCAATCTAAGATTTTGTGGTTTTTTTGTGTGTGTATGCTGATGATACGCTAATCGGATCAAGTTTTTTCAATAAAACGTAAAAAACCACACAAATAAACCCAACATTCGGTCAAAAACCAACATCTGTAACCTTCCAAGTTATTAATAGATTCTCAAATTTTGACTCAAATATTTCAGTGGCGAGGTGTGAATGCTTGATTATCGATTTTTCTCCATTTGAAGGCATGGTAAAGACTCAATTGTTAAGATGCTCGCCGCGAACACCCTGTTTATCGATTCTTCTCCATAGGTTTAAATGGCAGATAAATCGATGTATCGCAAAGCACGCTACGGTATTGAACGATTTCCGCCTCGTCTACGTTACGTCATTTTACAAAGTCAGTCTAACCGTTCGAAAGGATTTTAAAGAGCACCTATCCACAGCATGAATTCAGCGTGGAGATTCTGTTTCCGAGTCGCTCAATCCAGTTAGAGAGATCAATTTTCTTTACTGACGTTCTGTTTAAATTACAAGCGCGTTTGTTTACTCGGATGAAATGAATCACATTCTAACTGACTGCGCCAATATAATCGCCGAGCCCTGCAACGTTCCCGCGGGATTTCGGGTGTTTATCCCGTAAAGGGCGGCAGGTGAAACTATTTTGATCCGACAAACGACCGGGAAAATAAGGCAATGAGCTGCAGCTATGTGTAGGTCTACCTGAAAATAATTCTTGGAACACGGAGGTTTACTGGGGCGCGAGGAACCGCTGATCCGAGGGCGATTCCAGCCCGTTGAGCGAAAAACACGCAAACTCCGGTAAAGTCGCGGGCAGTTGAGCGGTTTTTTGTTTCGAGTGTCGCCGCAAACGGGCCTGTTCCAAGCCCGGCTTTTGAATCCATGCGAAGCGCGAAACATGTGCCGACATTAGCTTCAAGAAAATCGCCTCGCGATTGAAATTTATGGAATGTGCATACGGAGATATTTCTCTCCCCCGCACGATTTCAACATTCCGAGCCCGGCTGAATCTTTGTTTGCGCTCTATCGGCGTTGCCATATCGCCGAGGTATGCTTCGATTAAATTTTTAGAAGGATGTGGCTAGAGTCCCTTTATATTCGTAGTTGACACATGTGGAATCCATTTTTGATTGGTCATCGTATTCACGGCTTCCATCTTAGAGATTATACATTTTTCCCGGCTGCAAAGATTATATAAGCTGGAATGGACCAAGGAATTAAGGGTACGGCAGGGAACAAACGGAATGTTATCAATGAATGGATGAAAATACTTCG